CTTCTTTCCTGGAGAAAGCTAACCAAGCAATGGGAAGAATTTATTTTTTATTTTTTACCAGGTGAACACATCACTGGCTGACTGAGAAACGCTATCAGTATGTAAATACAGAGTGTGAAATATTTCTTTTAAGGGTCCTTCTCAAAAAAAATAGTTAACCTGTCAATCTATCAGCAAAGATGGCTGCTCAGTGTAACCAGGGAAACTACTACTTTTGTCACTAGACAAGGAACCGCAGCAGACTGAGTGAATTAGAGCCACTAGGGATAATCCAACCTCAGTTGCTTTTTTCTTTCTATAAATCCTTTGGTTTTAACTACATAGAATTGAACGCACGCTTAATTTTTCCTTTAAAGGGGAAAATATTGTGTGCTGTGTGTGTGTATGTGTGCATGTATGTATGCACACACAGAGAGAGACACACACACAAACAAGTATGGTTAGATTGTCCCCAGCTACTTTTATTTTTGCCATTTTTTAAAAATCAAATTTAAAATAAATTCAAACAATGTAACACGCACCTGTTTTTCATATAATAATGTTACATAGCGATTAGTCTTAAGTACTGCAATTGGCACAGGGCTTACTGCATGGATTAAACCAGAGAACATTGCTGACACACCTTAAATAGGCTAAAGCAATCAGCATTAGAATTGTACAAAACATTTGAAAGATCCCTATGCAAAGTATGTAGGAATGAGCAAAGACCCTCCTCCTCAAAGCAGAAGGCAACATAGTGTCCAGAAGACTCAATGCAGCTTCTGTGAAGATTTCTCCAGGTGCCAACCCAGGGGTCCGGTTCCACTGCTGTTTTCCTTTATCAGCTATCCTAGCAGAAGTATTGTTCGTGCATGTACACGCAGAGGCAACATAGAAGAAAAAGAGAGATAGACGGAGAGAGATTTGGTCTCTAGGATTTTCTAGTGATCTAAGCTAGTATTAACCAGGCCCAACCAGGCCCAACCAGGCCGTGGTTTGTTTGTTTTTCTGAAATCAGCATAGGCAGCCTAAGTGACTTAGTGTAGTAATATACTGCATTTTAATTTCCACTTTTTATTGATTATGAAAACTCTAATTAAGAGAATAAAACTAATGTATTCTGTTACTGCAATAATGTAAAGAATCAGAGCTATAATTCATACACATGTTATGTTTGCTGGAAGAGCCCCACCAGCTTTCGAATGGACAAACTCTTATTAAATTGGGTTAACAATATCCCTGCCTTGTTTCCATTCCTGCTATCATAATAAAGTGTTAATTTCTAAGGCCAGTCATGGTTTTGTTCTCATACTGCATTCTTTACCCCCCAAAAAAATTAAAGGCTTTTAGGATAGAGAGAAATTATCTTTGTAATAGCAAATATTAACAAACAGGCACTAGGGGGCTCTCTTGTATTGTGAAAATAACATTTTGTGCCAAAGTCCACTGAGCAATATTTTGTTATTTTCTGCGTTCCTGCATTTGGGTTTATGCTTTCCGGAAGAATGGCCAGATTTTTGCCTTGAACTCGTTTCTCCAGAAACCTACCAATAATGCAAAAATAAATAAATAAATCATATGCTGTACCATATAAATAATCCAACATGGCATTCTAATTATTTCAACACAAAATCCTATATAAGCATTATGTTATATAATGCTCTGTGCAGATTTAAAGCTTGAAATATTTGCTCCTCAAGCACCCCGTTTTATGACAGATGAAAATCCTTTCAAGGATGTTCTATCATTTGCATGAATGAGATACCAAATTAGCTGTCCAGTGCCAAACTGATCTTATTTTTTAATTTTTAGTTGCTAGGCTGCAGGAAATTTGTGGAAGTTCACCAGATGGTGAAAAGCATGGCTGGTTTCAGTACTCTTTGCAAATCTACAAGCAGAAAGCATTTTCTCTGCTTTGAACACGCAGCATTCAGATACACAGATTTTAAACCACTTATTAATTATTATTATTATTTGGTTATAAAATACAATCATTTATTTGAAAAGCCCGGATCATTGACAATTGTACATTTTTATTTTATTTTTCCTCATGCACATGGTCAGATAAGCATTGTTAATTCATTTGGTGGCATCTTCCTAACTTATATCTATTGGGTACTTAGAAGCTGATGAAGATTACTTGGTCCCTCTTATCTCTATGAGTTATATCTCATGCAGAGTTAGAATTTATTTTAATCATGGTTTACTGAAGAAATTGTAATTTATTCTAAAGTAAAAGCCATGATTTACATGCCATAATAATTGGGTCCACCCAATAATTTAACCAAAATCAAGAAGGCTGTATTATGGTTAGCTTGAATGCCTGACCCCCATGACTGGGTTCATACAGTTCATTAAGAAAAACTATGTTTTGCTTTTCTGAGGCTTAACATGCTCTGTGAATGCAGCCATTTGACTTTCTTAACCATGATTAATGTTAGGCAATAATGTAGCAGAAAGATGATCTGTGATGGAAGTGAGTTTGAGGAAGACACAGAAGGCCAAGAAAGAACAATTCTTACCCTAATAATACTCCCTTTCCAGTAACTGAATGTCCCATTTTGGTAAACACTCAGCATGTTTTTGCACATGTTGCAGATACTCCTTTGACTTCTACTGGCTCCTTTTATGGAAAGTAAATCATGGGCAGGCTGGAATCTCTGGAATGTCTTATTGTTCAGTCATGGAGGACAATTTATTGATATATTAATATAGGGCCTGCATTAAGAACTGCTCTTGTTGGCATATATTAAATAGGGGTCAATTTCTCATCCAGCAATTTCTGTTGCTGCTGTTTACTTCTCTTCAAGGGAAGAAGCAGTGACTTGAGCAGGACTGGAAAAGAAACAGGCCACAGGAAGTTCTATTCTACCCCTTTACACAGGGGCAAATTCTTGAATGCAGTGGGAACAATTTCCTGCTTGTTTCTCTTGGGTAACTCAAGAAAAAAAGGGAGAAATAGAAAACCTAGTAAAACAACCACTGTCAACTTGGCTGGCCCTTTTCCTAAGCAAGATTGAAAAGTAATTGAGAGGAACAGAAGTAAAAGAATACCTGCATGTATGGAGCAGAGAGGCTCCATATCTATCAAATATATTTATAATACAATATATTTTTATATATTGTAGACTTTTACAATATTGTAGACGTTTAGCATATTGTGTAGTGATTATTTTATTACTTTGGGTATACTGTGGTTTTAATTAATTAAAATCTATAGCTTCTATTTGTTTCACTACCTCTACTCTATTTTTATGGAAAGTGAACTTTTGGATACTGTTATGTAATTTTAATATGTAATCTGCTTTGTGAGATCAATATTATTTATTTTTTTAAATATAAAACAACAGAGATGAGATTAGAATTGTTCAGGATTCTTTCTTTCTCCCTTTATATACAAAAAAGAACTATTAACTGCTAGGATCTAAAACTTGGTAAAAATGTTCATTACTATGTAGATACAACAAATGCTGGGAAACAGAATGTAGCCAAATGGCTGAATACTTTCCACATTCCCCTTCCCAAGACATGGATGATGTCAAAAGTGTTAGACAAAATCCAGCTCTGCCTTCTATGATACTATCCAAATTCTGGATACAAAATGCTACAAGGCAATTAAGAGAACTTCACTGCTTCATGTTGGCTTGTTTAAGCTATTGGCTTATCATGATTCCAGATAATGTTTCTTAAAGTTTAACATTTACATGATTTCAAAATTGTATCTACTCTTGAATACAACTTTCAGTTTTGTAAGAGTATTGACCACCTATGCAGAGGTTACAGTGATGTGGCTTCAAAACAACTTCTTCATCCATGGGCTAAAACATTCTAACTGCTGTCCGACATACATTATGTTGGAGGTGTATTTATAGAATAGAGGGTACTTCTAGGGTAGAATTCAAAAGGTTTTTACAATAGATTCTTTTTATACGGTTACAGGAGACCAGAGGCATCCTGGTGCCTTTGAACAATTGTTCGGTTTCTTCAAAAACGTCATTATTAAATGTGATTCTCAAGGCTTTGGGAATTAAAACTGAAGACAACACTCATACTTTTGCAGTATCAGAGGCAATGTTTGCTACACTAAATTTTTCCTTCCCACTGAGATTCCTTTTCTTTTATCTTATTCTGAATGACATGTTTTGAAATTAATGCCAACAGCCTGGTATTCTTTGATCATTTATCAGAGAAATCATGTCATAAAAATTAGCTCAATATTAGAAGAATGTAACATCAAAAACTGTTTATAATTTCAGTGAAATACAACCAAAGTGAACAATGTTCAGTGCCAAGGCACAAAAGCATCACAAGATAAGCTATCCACAGCAAATCTGTATAACACTGAGATAAAACTGACAAAATTCACATAATATCTTCAGAAGCCATAGATGGTTGCTGTTTGGTTGGCATTTGCATTTCACACTGCAACCAGACACAATGATTAGGATGCACATAGTCACTTTTCAGCTCAATAGCAGTTAAAATGTTCTTTGCTACACCAAAAGAGAAATCATTTGGATATTGCAGAATGGTAAACGCTTGTTTAAGAATCTTGAGGGTTATGGCAGAAGGAACATGATGTTGTTGGTAGACCACATCTGAAGAACTGATCTTTTTTTGCTATGCATCTTTGGCTGTTACATTTTATTTTCATCGGGAAGAAAATTTTGGCAGCTTTAGAACAGCAGCAAATTCCACCTTCTTAGATAAGTTCCAGGCAATTAATTAATCACACAGTCAATATTATTATTCTAGAAACATTCCTGACCTTGAAACATCTCCTTTTAAAAAGTTGCTTTTGTATTAGATATTGACAAACTTAACAAACTCACTCATGTGATTTGTTTTTGGATTTTATGAGTAATGAAGCACTTCACTGTAGCACTTCTACTTTTATCTCTACAAAATCACGAGAACTTGAAATTGTTTGATTGAAATTAAAGTTGCAACATTCTGTTTCAGTAGTGTTGTGAGGTCATAGATGCAAAGGTTCCTTGAAGCACTTTGCTGTCTAACCATGGGATGAGAACAGCCACCCAGAATAATGGTTAGATATAGATTTTAGAATATTGTTGGCTTCTAAGTTCATAGGTTTCATGCCCATTGATTCTCAGGGGCTCTTTTTCATCTGCTGTATCAATATCTTTCATCTGTGGATAATAAACAGAAGATGCTTTGCATTCATAATGTCTGTCAATGGATTTTAAGTGCATCAACATGTGAAGAGCATAAGCTAAAACAAGAAGCAGTATCAGAGACATCACTAGACCCATTAGAATGGCTGGTGGGAAGAGGGAAGCACAATCTTTTGCATAAGCAAACTGTCCATCTTCAATGTTAAATCCTTGAATCTGTGAAGAAAATCAAATAGTCTAAATTAAGACCACACCCCATTTCAATCCAAGGACATGCTATTCTTTGATCGCTATTGTTGATCAAGATTATTTTCCCCAATATCAGTTGCTGAAAATTGAAATTGAAATCAGCATCTATTCCTGTGGAGCTTCTTGTGTGACACTGAGGATTTTTAAAATAAACTAGGATAGATATGTGTGAGATTGCAGAAGTTAAGCCTTGACCAACTTCCCAAATGAGTTGGGATACAGTACTACTAACACAGCTGAATGGAATTTGGCTAAATAAGACTAGTGAAGACACTACCAAAGATTGTAATTCCAGGATCAAGAAGATAAACCCAATACCTTATTAAAACAAAGACAAACATTCTGTGCAATGCACATAAAAACTGTCAAGGTGATGATTTAAGAGCTGACCAGTTGATGCAATGATGGGAATGAGTCAGCAGGGTCTTTGGCTGTTGTCTCTTTAAGAGCCTGTGTAAAAAATGGGAGGCTCTGCTAGTGTGTCTTCTTTTCTTTTCCCTTTCCTGCTTTATTTGCTGTTTGTTGGATTCTGCTCATAGCACATGTATGTATATTGTTCCTAGTGATACTTATATAGAATTGTAGATATCGTAGATAAACACACCATTTGTTACAAATCACTGTTTGATGTGTCTGCTCCTGGGTTGTCGCATGCGATAGGATTGGGCACGCTCTGACAGGTTATGGGCCCAGAGAGAAGAGAAACCCAATGAAAGCTTACCCCACAGCCAGAGGGGTTGTACTTCATGGTTTGTTTGTGGTTAGTGGTTGTTAGAGGAAGCAGGCAACATGGACTTATTCAAAGTTTACTTCTTTACCTATATCTAAAAAATCACATAATCTACTTTTAAAGGGTTCTTACCACATAGATCTAGCCTTCTAAGTATTTGCTTAAAGGCTTGGTTGGCTTTCCCACACATTACCTGAAAGTCAATAAAAGTAACTTCCCAGTGCTTGGCTGCATCATTTACAGAACTGGGTGTTAGCAGTGCATCATATCTCTGCAAGTTGCTGACATGTTCACAGTGATAAGAATAGATTGCTGGTGCATGTATTCGTGTTGCATTGAATGTTGCTTGTACAGACTGATTGTAAATAAGCTGGATTCTGTGTAAGGTAAACCAATTTTGAATGGAGAGCTTGTAATAACTGTTTGTCAGAATGAATCTGCCAAGGAAAATCAGAAAAATAATTGCAGTAAATCTTGCCATCTTTTGTTTATATTTGTAAATAAATCTAATAAAGATATACCAACTTCATATTATTATTGCATGGGATCTCCTAGTTCAGTGATGGCGAACCTTTTAGAGTCCGAGTGCCCAAACTGCAACGCAAAACCCGCTTATGCATCGTCGGGTGCCGGGTGGGTGTGGCCCATTGGCTGGGTGTGGCCCATTGGGTGGGCGTGGCTGCGGTGGTAACAGCAGACTGGGTGGGATTAAAAAGTTCAATCAATCAATTCCAACTTTGCAAGATCTTTTTTTTCCCCACGAGAAGTTGAAATTGACTGATTGATTGAACCTTTTTTTTTTTTTTTGCACACGGCGGCGGAGGCCTAAAGCAAAAAGGTTTTATAAAACCCAGCTGAAGGCCTAGGACTGGGTGATGGCACGCATGCCCACAGAGAGGGCTCTGAGTGCCGCCTCTGGCACCCATGCCATAGGTTCGCCACCACTGTCCTAGTTTATGCAGAATGTATGCCTTTCAATTCTTCGTTTTCATTGTTAAATACTAAAAATAGTCCCCTTTAAACGGCAAAAAATCAAGATAATGGAAAAGAAGGAAGGAATTGGTTGGTGCTGTTTGCAAATATTCTTTTTAAAACTTATCATAAATACATTTCTAGATAAATAATTCAACAGCCTTGACATTTTGTGTGTCTGGTACTTTAAAAGCACTGTCTAAATTAAAGACTAGAAAAATAAGAGGATAAATCTTACTGGATGTTCATGTAGTGCACTAATTTACATATATAAATATGTAAAACACATATACCACCTTTGTAAGCAAAATTTCCTAGAGCAATTTGTAATTTTGAAAACTAAAAGTCCAACATAGTATACATAATATTGCAAAATAAATGAGGAAACAGAACTATCAAATATCATAAAAATACATTTTCATTAAAACATTAAGACAACATAAATCAGATTAAATAAAAGCACAGTGCAGGATAAAAAAAATATTTGCTCCTAATAAGTGGTCTCTACAATACACAAGGTGAGAGATGCTAACTATATCTGCAATTATTCTCTTAAATTTTGATAACATCCAACTGTGCCTATGGATATTGCCATCCAAAGTTAAGCACTGTTAAGTCCTGGAAATTTCAATTGAGGAATAGATTTTTTTTTTTACTGAAATGAATGGGTCTTTAATTCTTACAGATTCTTGCCTCTGTTGTATTGTAAAAGAGTTTGTATTTATTGCAACAGCGACATATTTTCACATTTTAATATTATCATAATGGAGATAGACTAACAGTATAGTTTTAATGTAATAATGCTGTGGAGATTAATATTTGGAAACATACCTGATGACAAATCCTTTCAAATTGTCAATATCACCAAAATTAAGTGAAAGCCTAGATGGAAAAGGACAATTAAATCAAGAACTATTGAGAAAGAAAAAGAGAAGACAATGTAGTTAAATTTAAATTCATGAAAGTTATTTAAGATAGTTGCATGGTACCATCGCAACACACAAAAGGGGCAGAGCTTCGTAATGACACAACATGCACTCTTGATACCTCTTGTAGACATTGGTGGTCCAAATCTTAACCTGGTGCAAAAAATGTGGCCCTGTAATATACTAGAGTGGCACTTTGCTTGTGTCGTGCTTCTATAGTACAATAAATGCTTGAAGAAAAGTGAGCAACTGTATCCAAGGATGCTTATTTAGAGGTTCACAGGACCTCAGGGCAACATTAGTGTGTGTACCTAGTAATAGCTATATTCCATTCATAGTAAAACTGAATTACAGCTATATTTCATGGTTGCAGTCGCACTTCATAAACAGACAATAATTGGACTTAAAATAAACTGCATTTGTCACAGACACAGATATTATGATACCTTGAAGATTATCCAATTAATTTTAGCATAGGTTTCTATAAATATATCTTGCTACATAAGTCTAGTCCTTAGTTTCTGTCCATCACAAAACTTTTCCTTCTCAATCTATTCCATAATCTATTTCTTTCATTTTTGGGTTATATGAACATCACAACACAGACAACCTGGCATATTTACCCCTCTGACAAACGTAGAATGGCAAGCATTCATCAATTGTATTGCTCCAGCAAGTAGAATACTTGGGAACATTCAAAGTCATTAAATTAGTTCAGTGCTAAACATTTCACTGCCACAAGGACACTGCATTGTTTATTTTTTAAAACAAAACCAAAAAAACACATTTGTTTGAATTTTATTCCAGACCTAGGAAATCTCCACAATTTTACATTGGCCCAAAGGTGCTTTTTCCAAAAGGCAACTGGACTTTCTTGGTTTTTTGTTTGAAAACATTTTGCTTCTCATCTCATTTTCAAACAAAAAAAATCAAGAAAGTCCAGTCACCTTTTGGAAAAAGCACCTTTGGGACAAGCAGGACCTGGATGACTGAGAATCTCCATAAATCTTACATTGCATTTTCTTCACTGCAATTTGAATCAGCAACATCCACCGATGCATGAACACCAAATGTTTTGTCTGTTAGATCCAGCTGAGTGTAGTTCTGAAACTTAATCATGATCCTTCTGGCCCAGAATAGAATACAGGGGCTTCCATTAATGGTGATATTCAGTGGACTGTAGTGACTGTGAATCATAGATTCTTTCTCCAAATTCTCTTTAGTGCTTACATTGTAATTGCCAATCTGCATGCAACCAAGTAAGAAATAACAATTAGTGTTCTCCCTTTAACATACTATTATTGCTTAATTTTGAATTACTAGACCCCAGAGCAATATAAAGTCAACTCCATAAATGACTTGCCATCAAGACAAGTCCAAAATGCTTTGCTTTGAGATGGAGCCCATCCAAAATCAGATAATCAAAATCAGAACTAGAACATTGCACAAAAATCTCAATTCTGGCTATTAATAATAAATAAATTAAACAACTAGCAATATTCTGCTTAAGGATGGCTATCATAATTCTGTGTAACAAGAAGATAAGCCCTGCTTATAAAACACCATAAGAAGTTATAATTTCTGTTCATCCCCAATACATAAGTAAAAAGCAGAGTTTCTAAAAATATGGATAGCTTTTGTAATAAATGTCTAATCATAGTGGAGACAAAACTCAATGAACAGTTTTAAAAGATAAATCATTTAAAATTAGTACTGCTAGAGTGAAATGGCATAAGTGCTATTAGTGAAATGCTGCATTAGTGAAACACTGCAGTTAATGTGCTAAAATATAAATATCTCTAGATGAACAGCTTGCGATATGAACTCATATTTTTATCCATCTAGATACAAGAAGACATATTGATTTGTGTTAATAATAGCTGGAAATATTTATACAGCTTCTTATCAGCAGGAACTTTATTATATCAGATAATTCAGACACTGAATTTGTGAATATTTTTCATCAAAATCTAAACAAAATTATATCTTTGTAACATTATATATGGTACCGATTTTAAAATTGAGATTCTGAAAATTTCAGGAGATAAACAAATGTGAAAGAAATCCCATCTCAAGAGGCTCAGACATGAAAGACATGACAGAAAACACAAATGTTTTCTGTCGATGAAACCTAAATTCTGTCAGTATAGGAAATTGGCAGAGACCATGAAAGTCCTAGAAAATCAAATCTGAAGCACCAACCAGAAACCAAGAAATTCAACACTTTCAAGATGGCTTTTAAAAAAAAATAGAAAGATCCTTTTTTGTTCTACCTTCCTCTCTCACAGGAAGGGCAGAAGAAATCATTTGAGTTGTTAGAAATTTTGTTTGCTTTTCTTATTTTGTTAAACTATGTCCTATTTCTATCTGCTTTTGTTCTATGTATGTTTTCCTGAGTGAAGGAACTGAAGAAATTAACTGTTCAATTTTCCTTTCTCCCTTTGTCTTTCATCCTCAATAATTTCATACTTTTGATATACATATTAAAAGATTTGAATTTCTTTCTGAGTCAGTCCACTCATTCTGAGAGGGATTAAATTTTAGCACACATATTTGATTAAACTATTGAGAAAAGTCAGAGGATGTACCACATTATTGTTGTTGAACAGTTTGGGCAATTTTGTTCCACGCAGATTAAACCAGCGCAGGAAGAGAATTTCTCTGGGAAATAAATTGGAATGTATAGCACACTGAGCAGGAATGTGGGAGGCTTTAAAAGGAGAGTTGGTAAATGGAAGATCTAGAAGCATCCTGCTGGCACAACTGTGCCAGACAGTCCTGTGCACACTTGTGCCAGCAGACAACACATGCCATTACAAAATAGCAGAAAATAACACAGACGTGGGGGGGGCAATTATTTGATAAGTACAAATGGTCCCCAACAGCACTGGAAAAAATGACTTATGACCATTTTTCACTCTTATGACCGTTGCAACATCCCCATAGTCACATGATCAAAGCTCAGAACTGTCTTGGCAACTGACTCACATTTATGATGGTTGCAGTGTCCTGGCATAATATGGTCCTGTTTTGTGACCGTCTGACAAGCAAAATCAGTGGGGAAGCCAGATTTATTTAACAACATGGCAAAAAAGGTTGTAAAATAGGGCAAAATAATAAATGTCTTGCTTAGCAATAGAAATTTTGGTTTCAGGTGTGGTCCTAAGATGAAGACAATCTATAGCTACTAAACTACTAAGCCACTTTCTGTGATATTCAGAAAAGAACATTTACAAGGTTTCTGAAATATGTACCAGATATTCCTAAGAACCAATAAATGTGTCATCCAGAGTTTTTTGCAGAAAACCATCAAGTGCATATTTCTCAGTTATACTTTCAACATGGAAAGTTGAGTCTTTTTCTTTTCTTTACCTTTTTTATTTTAATTTTTGATATGCGCCACTGCTTCTGCAATCAGTGAGTTTGTACCAGGCTAAAAATTGTCCTAGAAAGACAAATATTGCAAAACCAACTCATATCATGAATTTATCTGCTATCATCAATGTTTTTTTTAAAAAAACATATACATATGGATTTACAACTCAGGTGCAATATACTGTATAACACTGATAATTTGGTCAAGGAGCATAAATATGCTACATGACTCAGAAGGAAAATATTGTCATGGAAAAACTTACTATCCAGTTTCCTGGGGTCTCCATACCTGTGTTATTGCTACATGTTGTAAATTAACTTTGGGCTTCACACTGCCATCATATCGTCGACCTACAAAAGAAACAGCATACAATACATTCCAAATAAAACTCATTTTAGCAATAAACAATTTTAATTACTATTTTTAAATTTGAGCTCCTTTTTATTAAAGAGAAAACTGATATAAAAATGTTTTTTATATGGGACAGACAACTTATCAACCAGATGAAGTTTAACACAGCATCCTCAGCCAACATGGTGAATAATTTGGACCAATCTTTTTAAAAAGATTATTTATTTAAAAATTCATCTTTATGTCATTGATAGATCTTTAGAACAAGAGAGGTACAGTCTTCAACTGCCTTTCATTATTAAGAACAATTCTTAATACTCAGGAATCTTCTCTAAGAACCTGGTAAATCAATTGTATTGTGGAATAATGTTTATAAACCCAAGGTATCCTCTCTTCTTGTCTATCTTGTCTACTATATGTAGTCCTCAACTTATGATCACAATTGCTACTAGAATTTCCATTGCTAATGAGGTGGTTGTACATTGGCTCCCGGCTGGCCTGAGCCACGGCTAAGGCAGTTCCCTCACTGTTTCCAGGATGGCTTCACGGGCCACATGAAACTATTTCGTGGGCTGCATCTGGCCCCCAGGCCTTGTGTTTGACATGTCTGCTCTAATTGTTAGGTGAATTTTACTATCCTTAAGCAAATTCAGCTTCCCCTAATGACTTTGATGTCAGAGGTCACAAAAAAGGTGGTGAAATGGTGTTCATAGGACCCCGGGATATTGTAGCCATCATAAATACAGTACATACCAGTTACCAAGTACTCAAATTTTGATCAGATGACCATGGGGCTGCTTCAATGGTCATCAATATGAGGACCAGTTGTTATTTTTTAAAGTGCTGTTGTAACTTCAAATGGTTGCTAAATGAATGGTTGCAAGTCAAGGGCTACCTGCATTTCAAGGAAATAGCATTTCATGCTCTTTAGTTATGTATCTTCTGTTTCAGCATCCCAGTCAAGAAAAAGAGAAAGGGAATAAGTATCTTGAAGTCGATTAGGGTAGAGCAGGAGGAAAGCTCTATGATGTCATGGTGGCTACACCTCTTGCTGTTCATTCATAACTCACTTACAGACTAATTAGGTGTAACTATTGCAGCAGAAGAAAAGTAAAAAGCAGACTCGTTCCATTAAATCTACAGAAATATAAGATCTGATGGGATCCAGTTCTTTGAACTATTTTCAGTTAATGATTCTAAGAACTATTGTTTGGTTTGATATGGCTTCCCTGCTCATCCATTTTTCCATTGGTGTTGTATTTAGTTTATATCCCTGAACACAGACAACTTTGCGATTAATCGCTCCTAAGCTACAGTAGGAATATTTCTCGTGGAACAAAAGGTTAAAAATGTTTGAATTAATTAAACTATTTATTGGTGACCTGTAGTGACCTGAAATTCCTCTGTAAATTTTTGGGACCTGTATTTTTTTCAGGAAGTGACAATTTGAGGGAGACAATTAAGGCCTTACCATTTCTCTGGAGTAGATCTTGATCCGAGAATACAAACAAACTGCAAAAAAGCAGACATAAAAGTAGTATATGAGCAATATTTTTTTAAAAAAATATGTATCTTATTTAAAATGCAGGAGGACAATATTTAGTACTTTCAATCTGCAATATAATCTACTTTCAGACTTGCAAAATTCTGTCAATGTAGCTTTACAATAAAGTAGAATTACCTAGTTCATCTGGTTGTGATTCCTATCCAGTTTGTCCTGCAAGGGCAATATTGAGTGCACTCCTGGAGGAGCTGCATCCAAGCTGAGATTAATATTAAAGTTCTTCATGGACTCTCTGAAAGTAATCAGAGTTTTATACCACATCTTAGAACCTTATCTCAGATGACACCAAGTTAGTGTTATTGGAAGCAAATTCTGGTTTATTCCTGACTGAATTAAAGAGCACACGACAACTGCTTGAAGCAGATGTAGAATTTATTTGACAGACAGACAGCCTAGTAATCATCACACATTGACAGGCAGGCTTAGAAATATTTATGGATCTTTGTATTGGAAATCATGTCGTGCTGAGTCCAGTAAGAAGGAAATGCAGTTTCCTCATCTTGCGAGGTGAAATAATCTTCACCTTTTGTGTTGATCTTGGGTGAAGGATCTGGATTTGAATCTTATTCTGTATATAAAAGATTTCCATATATTGAGGAGATTTCTTATAGTTTTGATATTTACTAATTTCCTTGCTTAGTCAGTTTCAGCCCAAGTATCAATATGAGCAAAAAGCTGAAGCAGTCTTTTGTTTTATTGCTTGGGGCTCACTGACAAGTTAGTCTGGCAAGTGGTCTGAGTGACAAGGATGACATGAGGATCTTGCCTTCTCACATTGTGAAATTACTAAACACTTACAAATTACGTGTACATGTTTATTTATACAGTATTGTCCCAACAAAGTATACTGCACCCCAAAAATAACTGTTAAAATTGCTGATTTCAGTTTTGATGCTTTCCAAAAAGCCACCATTCAATGAAACCAAGTTTCATGCCAAACTAACAATATTCTCCTCTCAGTAGAAAATGCACCCAGCACTAAATATGCCTCCAAGTGAAATATTCATAATTCTGCTAAAAACTTAATGGCAATAGTAATTTCCAAGCCTTTGAAAAGCTTACACACAGAAAAAAATAACAATATTTCTCCTATTGGAAAGCAGGCAGTAAATGGGCCACAAAGCAACTTTAGTTTGCTCATTGAAGCATTCATACCTTATGGAAATAAAATTAATACATGTAGCAGTGAAGCAGAGACCATGGTCACATTGAAAAACTCCTCCTAGTATTGTACATGCAAAATAACACCTTCTCCATCCTTCCCCAGCATTTACAGAAATAGCATCATTGCCTACCAGGATTTTATGTGTCCAGATGTACACATGAAAGCCCTTACCCACAACACAGACTAACAGAATACTATGGATAGAGTACTTCAATGTAGCTTTGCTCCCTATTCATACATAAACACTTTTTTTATAATACATAAAAACATTTGAAGCCCCAAAGCCCATAAATCCATTTAATATAATGAAGCATCTGATTGTACAAACATATAAGCCCCCAACTGCCTGTTGTGACAAAGAGTGATCTGTTTTTTAAAATCACATTTGCCAGCTCAGATGTCAGCAAATGAAGAGGGATGAATGACTGCTACTGAAACTTCATGGGAAGGAAATATTAAGGTAAAAAAAGGAAAGCTCTCTGGCTCACAGGCATTCGTTTTTTTAAGTAGGCTCTCTACAATATTTCTTTAATGATTGAAAATATTGTCTATCACTTCTTCTTCTTCTTCTTGTGCCATATCCGTTATCGGACATTGGCGATCATGTTGGCAATCCTGTTTTTATCAGCAGCCGCACGAAAAAGTGCTGCTGAGTTTTGTCCAAACCAGTCCCTTAGATTTTGAAGCCACGATGTTCTTCTTCTGCCTGGACCTCGTTTGCCTTCAATCTTTCCCTGGAGGATTAAATGGAGTATGCCGTATTTTTCTGGGTGTCGCATCACATGTCCGAAATATTCTAATTTTTGTTTTTTAATTGTTTTGATGATTTCCCTTGGCTTTCCCAGGTGGCTTATCACCTCCTCATTTCTGATCTTGTCAACCCAGCTTATACGTAACAGCTGCCTGTAAATCCACATTTCAAATGCTTCTAGTCTCTTCAGGTGGCCTTCTGTCAGAGACCAACTCTCTACTCCATAGAGCAGGATAGAAAAAATATAGGATCTGACAAGCCTGGTTTTCAGTCTTAGGCTTATGTCGTGACTGCAGAAGACCTTTTTCATTTTGAAGAATGCTGTTTGAGCTTTCTCTATCCTTGTCTTTACTTCAACAGTCATGTCCCAACTTTCATGTAAATTAGAACTGAGTTGCGTGTTCCTTTCAACTTTTTCTAGTGGTATTCCTTCTGAATTTATTGGTGGTAAATTAACGGGTTGTTTGCTGACGACCATGATCTTGGTTTTTGAGGTGTTAAGTTTCAAGCCGTATTTTTCAGATATTTCTGTGACTCTGTTGATGAGGAGCTGAAGGTCTTCATGCTTACTGGCAAGCAGAACTGTATCGTCAGCATATCTTAAGTTGTTGAACCAAACACCATTTACTTTGATGCCAGCATCGATGTTCTCCAGTGCCTCGTTGAAGATTGACTCAGAGTAGATGTTGAACAACCAGTGGAGACCATCAAAAAACATATTACATGAAATAGCATACCAAAAATAGAGAGAAAAGACATTTAAAATATTTAGATCAGAAGTGGATGAAACAGCAAGGGGGGTGACAAACTGAAGGCCTCTAAACTTTCAGAAAGTTGTTAGTGAGGACGTGAAGTTCTAGAATTGTGGTGCAGCTGCCAAATATTCTCCAGTCCTATGTTCCCATATAGCCTTTTTTTTTTTTTAAAGAACAATTTCATGTTGTGGGATTGATCAGCCTTCCCTAGAAGTATATATTAGCCCCAAGGCTTTTTAAAAATTTAATTAAAATTTTAAAGTTGTGAAATTAAAAAAAAACCCTGCATCATAACAGAAAAAAGATAAGTAGTAAGTGTGAAGTTTGAAGAAAAAAAACCTAGATATATTGTAGGGATTAAAATAAACTTAGCATGACAAGAAAAAAAACATTAATATTTAGAAATAACAATTTTCATTTAATTTTATCCTTAAGCTTATTAAATCAAAATCATTCAGCAATGTAGTACATCATCTTCTCATCTTTAGAATACAATGGCTTCCCCCCCAAAAAAAGAGTAACAAATTCATATCCTTGATCCATTCCTTAAAAGGAGGAGAATACATTTCTTTTCAGTTATGAAAAGTCATCTTCTTTGCTGTGCCCCAGACTCAATAAAGACAAAGGTATTGATAGGATAACAAATTCCATGTTTTATATGGAAACGATTTATATGGCCCATCTTCACACTGAGATCCTTATGTATAATATCTCTTCCCAAAATTGTGCTGACATTTGTAGTCATATAGTCATTTGAAACCAATCAAGGCTTTAACACAAATCACGTGAATAGCTGTCCAAACACAGGTTAGAGGAGGTTGGATTAAGCTAAAACCTTTGTCAGCCTTATTTTTATTTTTATTACGAGAATCATAGGTGCAATGGAATAGCTCTGTATCCTCTTCAATTTCTGTTATCTACTTGAAAGGAACTTTCATGACTTCTTTTCTTCATGCTATCTTTTGCCATGTCATTTATATGTGTGTTTTATGTGTACAGTACCTACATATATGAAAGAGGTGATAGGGAGAAGAGTTATGTTAACTCTTAATTCATTTTAAGCTCAGAAATCAATTGAGGTAAGAAGATTGCTTTATTTTTATATGTATGTGCAAAACACAGAGAGAGAAATGTAATTTTTAAATAATATCAAAAACCACAATATTATTATGTATGTCTCCACCTATTTTATATTTTTAAAATATTCCCCTCCTCACATATGCAGTTCAAAAGTTAATGCAGTCCTAAGCCAAATGAAATTTGTGCATCTTTGTTAAACAGAATGTCCTTGAGTTATGATAGTAGTTGGGATCAGAATTTCCATTGCTAAGCAATGCAGTCTTAAAGGCAACATCATGTGACCACAATGCTTAGCAATGGCAATCCCTGAAATACCTATTGTCATTAAGTGAGAATCTGGGGTCACTAAGCAAGCACCACCTCACAACTTCCTGCTGGCTTCCAACAACCAAAGTCAATGGGGAAGGTGGGAGGAAATTGCAAGACCGAAGCAGCCTAGCAGGCAGGTAAATGGCTGCTGCTGGTGGAGGGAGAGAGCATACAGATGGCCAAAGAGGCACAGTGTGCACATGGAAGGGCTTGGGGTGGCTGCTGTTGGGTGGGGAGGCATAGTGCAGGTGTAGTGAGGTTTGACAATGGTGCACAAGGGTGTGTGGGTAGCAAGGGAAGTGTTGTGTGAGCGTGTTGGGGCTTGAAGTGGCTGGTAGCTGAGAGAGGGTGAGTATGGATACACATGACCAGGAAGGGTGTATACGTAGCCAGGAAAGCTCTGAGAGGTTGCATAAGAGTGCACTGATAGTGGGGCGGCATGCCGCAATGCGGTGGGGCTCAGGGTGGCTGCTGGTGGATGGGGGAGTGTATATGAGGATGTGCACATGGCCAAGGAGAGTGCAATAAAATTACATATACAAAATATTGTATATGCTTAGTTACTCTATGAGTATCTGTTAATAAGATAAGAACATCTAGGTTGGTTGGTTGGATATTTCCAGTTTTTTCTATTCTTGCTTCCACCATGCCCAATCACTTCTTTCTATTTAGCCTTTTCTTATTTAAACTTCTGGCTATTCGCTCTTTGAGGATTTCATCAAATTCCATCAGTTATGACTTCGTTGGACTTTTTCTTTCTCTCAAGCTACATCATTCTTCTTTCAAATATTTATTTCGTAATTCAGCTGTTGTTCATTCTATTTTATTTAACCATCTAAACTTCTTTCATATTGATTGCTAATTTTCGCACATTCTACATTCATCACCCATTCAATCTTGATGCTATCTCTTCCATTTTTTAAATACACCATTTCCATTGAATTCAACTAAGTTTTCTGTTTCTCACCACTTGCCCAACTCTCTTCCACATGAGCAGAAGCACCTGAATAACCACTCTTTATTTTTTTCAACAAGTGTTCATTCCTTGTTAAGAGACCAAATCCTACCCACTATCTTTCTACATACATTTGCATGTCTTAATTTTTTTATCCATTTCTCCATCTTTAGTAAACATTCTATCACCTAGAATTTGTTTGCTTATTGTAGTTTTCTGCTATTTTTTGTATAACTCGTATCACTCCATTTTCTCTGTCAACAATAATTACCTGCTCTGTGATACATTAATTTTCAGATTCACACTCCACATGCACCATATCTAATATCTAAGACATGCATCATATCTAATATCTAATATTCACTGCAAATCATTCATATTCTCAGCCAATACAGAGAATCATCTGCATATAAAATGTATTAATGTCCAACACCTTAAGAATTTATGTCACTAAATTTATGAGACTGAAAAAGACAAGGGGAAATACGATGAGGATAGACTTAAAGTAACTAAAGAGGTTAGATCAATAAGGATGCCAGTGGAGAGAGAAGTACAAGCTAAAGAGTCTAGACCAACAATAGTAACAAGATCTAAATATAGATAAAGAGGCAAAAGAAGGAATTGAGATTATATCTCTGAATGTTAATGGTCTTAATTCC